TCTTACCTCACGGCTAGCTCCTGCAACTCTTTCAGGGTGTTGTCGTCGTATGTTGTTGCCTTTGCGCACTCCGTGTACCAACGAAGGTACGATATGATAGCGTCCGTTTGCGGTTGCGCGATGTGCGAGGAGACGAGAAATGGCAGAAGTTGCATCACTGAACGATGCTCATACGCTTGGTAGGAAGCACCTAGCTTGAAGTATTGCCCAGACGGCAGCCGTAATGAATCCCACCTACAAATATGTTTGAGGTATTTGAGCCGCCTGAAACATGGACAGAACAACAAAGTAGTGAGTAGGTGTTTAGATGTGGAGGGTTACACATGAGCCAACGTTGCCATCATTGCAATAGTACATACTTATCGATTGCTTCACGTGTTGATTCGGGTATGATCTCACGCAAGGCTGTGAGGATATGATCGAGAATGCCCAAGTCCGCTTGGTGCATGAGATCCGGCATGACTGCTAGGTATGGGTTCCCCCATTGCTCCGACTCAAACCTCCATCCCCAGAGTGCGCTCTGCATAGACAAGCGACGCCAAATGAATGGAAGCGGAGGTAAGGAAAGGTGAAACATATGATAAAACCAACTTAGACACCATGAACAACTGACCTCGACAGGATGGGTTGAAAGGTCTTCCACTGCTGCCTCCCCACGTCGTCTTGGTGCCTTTAGAGCTGTGCAAATGTCCTGTTGCTGCTGGACGGTGCGCCATTTTAAGTGTGTCTGGTATTCAGCCAGGTCATTCTTATGGACGGTGCATAGTGAGCAGGGGTAAGTTGTAGCCCCCGACTTCGTACAAGTTATCTTACACGTCTCTGGGTAGTCTGCGATGTAAGCATACAGCGCAGGGTATGCGGTGAATGAATGGCCCGATGCGTCTTCCACTCTAGCGCCCCTGTTTAGAACACGTGCAAAAGGAAAGCAAAAAGGTTAGTAAATATTGTAGCAAAATCCATTCACTCACAAATGTTGTTGGGCTAACAATACCTATGAACACAAACTTACACATGACTGGCGGCCTTGAGGGGCTGTAAAGCCTTTCCAAGAACCTTATGAAATACTTGTAGACGGTCAAGTGATGTGTACTCAGGAGGAAACTCCGGCAGCAATGCAATCATCGCATGACCGTGTGGTTTCCAACGGTCCTCACGTGCGATGTTGGCCAGCGACATGTAGATGGGATGTCCTTTAGTCTTCCCTCTTGAGTCCATCATCGTTTCGTCTGAGGCGAGAATGATGGTTGCAACAACATCATCCGGTCCAAGCTTATCCTGTTTGGCGAAACAGTGGGTCGACAAATGGTGGTGCCGGGAAATAACAAGTGTGAGGTGAGCGAAAATGAAACACATGGCGATGGCCCAACCAACAACCCGCAACATACCTGGACGTTGTTCCAAAAATCTGCCGTCTCAGGTGCGTCGTAGACACGAACGTTATTCACAATCTTCCGATGAGCTCTTGTGACGAGTCCTCGAGCGTTGCGGGAATCGCGCAACAGGGACTTCATGGCCTGGTTGTCGAAGGCACAGAAGTGCAAGGGAGGGGCAGGTCAGGGTAATGAGGGGTGGGGGGGAGAGGATTAGGAGGATGAAAGGATGCTGAGAGGCCAATACAGAGAATGAGGAGCAGGGAGGGTGAATGAGGGGTGGGGAGGGAGAATGAAGGGGTGGGGAGGGGAATGAGAGGCAGGAAGGGAAAAGTGGGGTGAGGAGAGAGAATGAGGGCCCGGGAGGGAGAGGGAGGGGTGGGGGACAGAGAATGAGGTGCAGGGATGGATCATGAGGCACAAACAATGGAAATGAGGGGCAGGCAGGGAGAGGGAGGGGTGGGGGACAGAAAATGAGGTGCAGGGATGGATCATGAGGCGCAAACAATGGAAATGAGGGGCAGGCAGGGAGAGGGAGGGGTGGGGGACAGAAAATGAGGTGCAGGGATGGATCATGAGGCGCAAACAATGGAAATGAGGGGCAGGCAGGGAGAGGGAGGGGTGGGGGACAGAAAATGAGGTGCAGGGATGGATCATGAGGCGCAAACAATGGAAATGAGGGGCAGGCAGGGAGAGGGAGGGGTGGGGGACAGAAAATGAGGTGCAGGGATGGATCATGAGGCGCAAGCACAGAGAATAAGGGGCAGGGAGGGAGAATTAGGGGAGGGGGAAAGGGGATGAGGAGCAGGGAGGGATGTTGACTGGCAAACAATGAGAATGAGGGGTGGGGGATAGGGAATGAGGGGCAGGTTGAGAGGATTCAGCCGCAAATCCTGAGAATGAAAGGCAGGGAGGGAGAATGGGGGGTGGGGGAGAGGGAAAGAGGTGCAGGGAGGGATGATGAGCCGCAAATCGTGAGAATGAAAGGCAGGGAGGGAGAATGGGGGGTGGGGGGAAAGGGAATGAGGTGCAGGTGAGATATCCGAGGCGCAAACCGTGAGAGTGAAAGGCAGGGAGGGATATTGGGGGGTGGGGGAAAGGGAATGAGGTGCAGGTGAGATATCCGACGACTAACCTTTAGGCTGTCACAGAAGTGATATTTCAGAAGCGCCTTCCCCGCGATCCGGCACTCGCCACTTTGCCATGATCGGTCCGTGTTGACAGCCTTGGTCGCCACATGTTTGTATAAGTCTCGAAGCGTTTTCCAGCCGCAAACCTCGCCAAATCGACCGCCGCTTTTGTTGAGAATCCGCAGCAACGCCGCTACAGCCCGTTGAGACAACTTCTCGTTTAAAACCCATCGACATAGTTCATCCTCAAAGGAGAACGGCGTCGGAGGACTAGGCTCCGCATCCTGTCCCGAGCGCGAGGGCCCCACGTCAGGCATCGCAGCACGTTCATGAGAAGGAGATGGCGGCTCCTCAGAGTCTGAGCTATCCTCGCACACGGGCCTATCATCGTCGATTGGAGCTCGAGGACTCATAGTTTCATCAAACGTTTGAGGCAAGAACGGGTCCTCCCGGGCCATTGGGCGAAAAGTGCTCGGAAGACGTGTGCCAATCTCATCGTTCCCTGCACCATCGCTGGCGGGTCTGCACGCCGCATTGCTGGCTTGCGCCAGCCTGCATTGATTGCTTCCTACGTGTCTTCGAAGGCCTCCATTACCTACAAAGGGGCCTGAACCGCATTCTTTGCAATAACCTGAGGGTAATTCGTCCATGAATACGCTGCGCCGTTCCTACAACTACGACTTAAAACTGGATCTGTAACGAAATTGGCTGAGTTGTTGTGACTGAATCTGAATGATGTAGCTGCTCTGGCGTCTTTGATTGCATTAGTTGCAAGGCAATGACATGCAGCAGCATTCACTGAGGGTTGCGTCAATTTCATTTCACATTTGCGAAATACCCACCCCGACCACTCTGAAAAACAGCGCAACCGATGTATAACGTGTGACATCTCATTCTACCATTTTCAAACGAACGAAAAAGACCCGCCCCATCCTTCCGAATTCACAATTCTGAAATTTCTGGAAGAATGTGCGCCTCGATTTTGAATGTGTTGAATTTGTGAAGAGAAATTTAACGCGCCCCGATGAAATGTGGTTCATTTTTCGCCCTTTTCTCCGATTGGCTAGCTTGACGTTGCGACCAACGGGAAGTCGTCACTGGCGGGCAGCCTCGTTGGCGACTTCGCCAACGAGTCAATTCAAGTCATGTATATGTGTGACAAATTGAGTCGCGACGAAATTTGAACAAGCGACTTCGCCAACCCCATCGCGCAACAGACGCGTCGCAAGTCACATTTGGAACGGTCAGGAATGCCAATTCACCTGCCCGCACTTAAAACGTCGTTAAGAGCCAAGTCTCGAGCGCACGGTTTCCACAAAAAATATCATAACCAGTACCTTCAGAAAGTACTGACGCTCCTGAGGTCGTCTCTCCAGCAAGTGTCAAGAAAGGCTTGGTGTCAAGCGTTGTTTACGGTTGACACCAAGTGGAGCCGCGTGTGAGCGCGGCTCCAGCCTGGTGTCAATGTTGGGCACATTGGACGATTTCCCGCGATCTCATTGGTTGGTTTAGCTGACACCAGGAGGGATAGTCCTCCATGTGTTTTCGAGTTGGTGTCATGACACTAGCCCCTCTTGACACTTGCTGGGGATACGATCTAAGTATCAACCGTAAACGGCCATAACATAAAACGAACCGCGTGGCTATTGGTCAATTTCCCAACGTCTAAAATTGTAACGTTAATTGTAAGTTCAGACCACATTTAACAATACAAGGAAAACGTTACAAAATAAATAAAGAAAAACTGCCTGTTATCTCATAACGGTACATCTCATATGAAGGTAATCGGTGAACATCGCAACCGTCAGATCAAAGCAACCACAAACAGTTATACATCCGAGGGTAGTTTACGTGCTGCATTCGGATTGAGCCGAAGAGATCTCGCTTGCAAGGTGGGCCGTTGATCCGAGAAGATCGAACGCCACATAACAAAATTGAAATCACACCCCCCAGGTCATTTACGTGCTCCTCGCAACGATGCCCCAACCAGTGCGCCGCGAACCATCTCACGAATCACAATTTTGATCTTGACCGTTGCTCAAATCGCTTGGAATTTCATCCGTCGATCAAGCGCCTGCACATTCCACGAAGCAACCAAAGAGATTTTCTCGAACACGCAATTGGCAAAACAGGGTTCATCGGCATCGCAAAATTGCCGAAGTGCCCCCACAAACTGGCACAGCATGTATACAACTATTTATGACGCTCTGAAACCATCGAGAAAAGTGCGTCAGTAGGCTAGACCATCTACAACAGGCTCAAGATTTTTGCGATGTCAGGAACGTAGATGGTGGTGTTGGTGTCCACCCCCGCTGGTACCTTGCTCTGCAAATGATGAGTGTAGTTTGGGGACACGATGAGTTTAGGCAGTGGAAAAAAATGCAGGGGGATGGCGGAAATAAGGCAAGGGAAAATTATTATGGATAAGACGTTGCTGTGTAACTCAAAAGATGGTCACGTGTTAAGATGAACATCAGATTTACTAGGTGCTAGGTGATACTCACGCGTCAATCCAGTCGGACTTTTCGTCGTGGCGCTGCAGCCTTATCATGACTCCCACCACGGCGAGGGAGGTGTTGTCGTTCTCGTGCTGGTGCACGAAATGAGCCTCCATGGCTGCGAACAGCCCGTTAACTGCGTGCTCCGAGAACGAGTGCACGTGCACCTGAAACGAAAAGGAAGAAATACACGAAGGGATCAGTACAAAGTATCCTGTGCATTTAGAAAAACAGTACACAAATGTATGTATAGCTTGAAAAAAAACAGCATGCATACCTGTTTCAGAATGAAGGTTCCTTTGTTGATGTGAAGTTTGTAAGTCTTCTCCGGGTTCGGAACAACCTCTGCCTAACGCCAATCAACGAAGTGTTAGTGGGACAAAGGTTTCTTCCTTACAAAATTAGTTTTATTTTGAGTCTTGACACCAAACCAGAAATCTCCGATGCCTCCTAGCGAGGAAGATCTGGTTTAGGAGACTTACGAACGGTGTATCCGTGGTTGATGACGCTGGCGGTGGTGGCGGCGGAGTCGTACTCGAGAACGAACTTCTCCGGCTCGCTCACTTCCTTCGCCTCGTCCATCACGATGTTGATCGGCGACTGCTTCTCGCCCGACTGGCAGTCTCCCTGCCCGTATCGGAAAGGGAACAAAAGCCAGATATCGTGTTTTCACATCCGAATCATACGAGCAGCTGTTTCGAAATTCGTAGTAGTTACGGGAAGCGTCGGTGTAATACGCGATGAGGTTCGTACGGACAAAAATCAAGAAAGCATGCTACCAAAGCACTCACCCCCCAGTCGAGCCCACTCTGGCTGTAGCTGACTTCGCCGTTGATGCCGTCAAGAGCGGCGAGGAGCGCAAGGAATGAGATCGAGAGGCGCACGAGACGATCCATGGCGACTGACGTAACCAACAACGGCGTGGATAAGAATTAGCAGCACTTCGTGAAAGAAATGTTGGGAGGTTGAGCAGGTTCAGCTAGGGGGATCGAATGTTGGTGGAATCGATTGGGGGAATTGGGAAGAAAAGCGCCCCCTGCTTCGTATTTAGCATGCGGGCACGCAAGTTCAGTAGCTGAAGAGTGCGAGAGTAACCACAACTGTGATGCTCGCCAGTCATTTGTTCGAACAGCCTGCTCGCCTCGCGAACAACTCGCGAATGTGAATGAGTCCGTTCGCATGGAAAATTCACTGAACGCATGGCACCAAGCATGATCGATGCTCCGCGCGCGTGCTACACAAGGGTGTTAAGCGACGTGACAGGCCGAACACCCTGCAATAACCGAGAAACCAAGGTATTCAGAGACGTAGGATTTGTGTCACCAGTCCGTGTTTCCACCCAATTCACGGACTGATCAAGCTTGTTCGGCAGATTTTCTGGCCTTTTGATTTGGAACCAGGGCTCCTCGTGTCCTGTCCGTGCGAAAATAATCCCTAACAATTCTTCGGTCGCATCACATGATCGCATCGCATCCGCCGACATAGACTCTCCCCCCCACCCCCCACCCCCCCCCCCCCCCCCCCCCCCCCCCCCTCTTCACTGTAGGGTTATGGTCCCTCCAGGCTCGAGGGAGGCGAGCAGTGATATGCTGATCTGCAGCTTCTGCTTGTACAGAAAGGGGGCGATAACGTGCTTGTATTGATGGAAAAAGGCGGTTCGGATGCAATGAGCGTGTAAGTTACAAAATCAATAACTTGTTCGGTGTAAGTTACAAAATCAACGTTGCGCACATACCTAAGGATTTGGTGTGTGACAGAAGGAAAAACAAAACAAACAAAACAAAACAAAAACAAACAAACAAACAAAACAAATGTCTGGGAATTTCTCTTCAGGGATTAATAGAAATACGCATACAATCTGGGACATCCAGTAGCAGTTATGAATTCATATTTCACCCATCAAAAGAAACATTGTGCAAGGGTTGTGCAAACATTACAAACTTACATTCTACGTAAGGAAAAAACACACTCAGATGTGACGTGAGTACAGCTGATTGCTGGTGATGTAGTTCTTTCCCCTCACAGCAGATGGACGGACTGGCAAACTGCCAGCCATACACATACCGGTACGAGGGGCTGGTGATTTGAGTGAGACTTATTGAAGAAAATTTGAATGCGCGAGTTAAAGAAACGCAGGGAGTGGGGAAGAAGGAAAGACAGAGGGAGGGACAGAGTGGGGCAGCGGGGGAGGGAACAACGAAGTGGGAGGTACAGAAGGGGAGAGGCAAAGGAGGGGAGAGGCAGAGGAGGGGAGGTACAGAAGGGGAGAGGCAAAGGACGGGAGAGGCAGAGGAGGGGAGAAGCAAAGGGAATTCAATTGGAGAAGGCCCATGTAGGAAAGACCAAAGGTGGAGAATGGGGTCCGTATCTAACCCAGGAGAAAATGGCTGAGGGTGAGTCGTAGAAGCATAATTGGCAGAGGGAGACACAGAAGGGAGAAGAGAAACTGATCAAATGAGAAAAGGAGGGAGGGGTTGGGGACACGGGTGGGGTAGAGTTGTAGTTTGTGTCAAAGGGATGAGAGAGGGGTATACCAGGGGGGAAACGGGTGGAGATGGGTGGAATGGGAAATATTGGCAGAGAAGCGTGGCGGGGTGTGGGAAGGGAACGTTTGGACGAGAGGAGCAGGAGGAATGGAAGAGAGGAATGGGGGGATTTGAAGAGACGTGGGGAGATGCGAGAGTGAAGGGTTGGTGGAGAGAGGAGGGGGAGTTTGGCAAAGTCACTTTGGCAAAGTCCCACAGTGGGGAGGGGGAACCATTCGCAGAGTGGGGAGGGGGAACCATTCGCAGAGTGGGGAAATATCGCAGATTGGAGTGGATGGGGTTGACTGAATAAGACTTGGGGAATGAGCAGAATGAGAGGGGATGAGCGGAATGAGAGGGGATGAGCGGAATGAGAGGGGATGAGTGGAATGAGAGGGGATGAGCGGAACGAGAGGGGATGAGCGGAACGAGAGGGGATGAGCGGAATGAGAGGGGATGAGCGGAATGAGAGGGGATGAGCGGAATGAGAGGGGAGGAGCGGAATGAGAGGGGATGAGCGGAATGAGAGGGGATGAGCGGAATGAGAGGGGATGAGCGGAATGAGAGGGGATGAGCGGAATGAGAGGGGATGAGCGGAATGAGAGGGAATGAGTGGAATGAGAGGGGATGAGCGGAATCAGAGGGGATGAGCGGAATGAGAGGGAATGAGCGGAATGAGAGGGGACAAGCGGAATCAGAGGGGATGAGCGGAATGAAAGGGGATGAGCGGAATGAGAGGGGAGGAGCGGAATGAGAGGGGATGAGCAGAATGAGAGGGGACGAGCGGAATGAGAGGGGAGGAGCGGAATGAGAGGGGACGAGCGGAATGAGAGGGGAGGAGCGGAATGAGAGGGGACGAGCGGAATGAGAGGGGAGGAACGGAATGAGAGGGGATGAGCGGAATGAGAGGGGATGAGCGGAATGAGAGGGGATGAGCGGAATGAGAGGGGATGAGCGGAATGAGAGGGGATGAGCGGAATGAGAGGGGATGAGCGGAATGAGAGGGAATGAGCGGAATGAGAGGGAATGAGCGGAATGAGAGGGAATGAGCGGAATGAGAGGGGACGAGCGGAATCAGAGGGGATGAGCGGAATGAAAGGGGATGAGCGGAATGAGAGGGGATGAGGGGAATGTGGGGGAATGGGCGGAATGTGAGGGGATGAGCGGAATGAGAGGGGATGAGGGGAATGAGAGGGGACGAGGGGAATGTGAGGGAATGGGCGGAATGTGAGGGGATGGGCGGAATGAGAGGGGATGAGCGGAATGAGAGGAATGAGAGGGGATGAGGGGAATGAGAGGGGATGAGGGGAATGAGAGGGAATGGGCGGAATGTGAGGGGATGGGCGGAATGAGAGGGGGTGAGCGGAAAGAGAGGGGATGAGCGGAATGTGAGGGAATGGGCGGAATGTGAGGGGATGGGCGGAATGAAAGGGGATGAGCGGAATGAGAGGAATTAGAGGGGATGAGGGGAATGAGAGGGGATGAGGGGAATGAGAGGGGATGAGCGGAATGAGAGGGGATGAGGGGAATGTGAGGGAATGGGCGGAATGTGAGGGGATGGGCGGAATGAGAGGGGATGAGCGGAATGAGAGGGGATGAGCAGAATTAGAGGGGAAGAGCGGAATGAGAGGGGTTGAGCGGAATGAGAGGGGATGAGCGGAATGAGAGAGGATGAGCGGAATGAGAGGGGATGAGCGGAATGAGAGGGGATGAGCGGAATGAGAGGGGATGAGCGGAATGAGAGGGGATGGGCGGAATGAGAGGGGATGGGCGGAGAAGGGTGGAGATGGGTAGAGAATGGGGGGAGGATGGCAATGAGGTTGGCAATGAGGATGGCAATGAGGTTGGCAATGAGGATGGCAATGAGGATGGCAATGAGGTTGGCAATGAGGTTGGCAATGAGGTTGGCAATGAGGTTGGGGATAGACAGAGTAGTAACGGGGGGGGGGGGGGCGTTAGGAAAAGAGAAGTGGGGGATTAGGTTTTGAGAAGTGTGGCGTTTGACCGTGGAAAGAAGGGGCTTTGGCGAATAGCAGTTGGGCGGGGATGTAGAAAGGACGGTGAGAGTGTCAAAGAGGGGAAGGGAGGCGCTGGTGGAAGAATGAGAGCACAGAATGAGAGTGACGCAGCGACAGAAACGGAATTCAAGGAACGGAATGATAGGAAATGAAATGAGGTGGGAATGTTGGGAACGGAACGAGGGATGGAATGGAACGATGGACGGAATGAGAGTGACAGACAGCTGTTTGGGCATACAGACAGATCTTTTAGCTTCTCTTTCCTGTTCCGGCCACACCGCTTCCTGACTTGGGAACTAGCACAGGGAAAGGGTAATAAAAAAATGGCTGGTTTAAATGTTGGGTGTATTGAGCAAGTTCGCCGACTGTGTTCATTGTCGCCAGGCCTGGGTGGTAACCCAAGAAACAAGAGCCACAACCCCGAAAGAAATCGGGGAGCGTATACAGACTGGTAACCTGGTTTTCCTCCTCGCACATTACGGATAATTTTCTCGTTGCTCTCGTCACCCAATCTGCTTCCGCTTCCAACTCATCTTCGGATTTAAGGCCTTCGCGGCACTCGCAACGCAATCGTCCACTGTTCCGCCTTTACAGAACCACCCCCCAAGCATCCTAAGACCCAGAACCCTTAGCCTCTGTCCGCTCCCACAGAAAAACCACCCAAAGAATTTTATTTCTCTCAGGTTTTCCGTTTTCTAGAAATTTCCGGTTCGAGCCTCATTTAGGAGATTTGTCTGTCCCATCCAAACCGTCACCTGCTGCTGCCGCTGCGCCTTCCGTCTGTCGCAGCCGCAACCACACTCACGCGCACGATCCTGCCATCGCAACAGTGTCCGATCAACAGCGCCTTCGCTACTGGTAACCCTGTTCTTGGTTGCAAGACGCGGCGGCCGATTCGTAATCGTAATCAGGAGGCGCATCGAACAGCGCTCGCTCGCATTGTGTAACCGGGACCACGCACAATGTCGGTCTTAATGCGTTTCTGGGGTGAGAATCAGCGTTCAATTCTTTGAGACGAGATCAGGTCAAGAGCGGCCATGTGAGCAGGATGAAATATACGAGTCGTGTGCGTTGACACTGAGTCGCTTTTGAGAATTCTCAAAAGCGATTTCGCTGAACAGGTTCCGACGCCACGATCCAATAAGGTCGTTTTCTGAATCTCTCGGAAATTACCTGCGAGGAAACAGGTTTCGACTCGACGGACTGGATCATCAGCGGTCTCATCTACATCGGTCGCGGTATCGAGTGTAGACAAAACATCGGCGCGGCCTTCTGTTGTGCCTGATAAGCCAGATTCTGGGCACGCCCATCGAGTAGTAGCCAGAGGATAGGGCCGTTCTTATTTCCTCCCTG